AGATAGTAGTGAGGTATGTACTTTACTCAATTTCTCGTGATTAATGTATGATATATCTTAGCCTGCTGTGTGTTGTGTGAAATTGGGTGTAGAAATTTATTGTCTGTGCTTAGGAAACCAAGGTCAACAAGTTTGCATTTGGTAAGCACTTTCTCGCCTCATCCCAAAACCTAAAGCAGAATGGCAAGAGAGAATGAGAGAGAGCTAGAAAACTACACTTTTATTTTACTTCTTTAAAAAAAATTCTATTCTCATATGTGCATGTGTGTGTGTTCGGCACATACCTGCCAAGACCTGGATTTGGAAGTCAAGGCCACCTCTCAGGAGTCGGGGCCAGGTCTTTCTTGTTTGGGTCCCCATACATCCGCTGTCCCTCCATAGCTGTAATGTCCTCCTGGTTTCCGACCGGCTCTCCTATCTCTGCCTCCATCCCTACTGGAGCGCTGGGATTATAGATGGGTGCCACCGCATCACTTTTCCTCCATGTGTTCCAGAGAATCAGGCTCTCGGGTTTGCTCCACAGTACTTACCTGCTGAGCCGGCCCCCCAACCTGATAAATCTATGCTTGCAGTAGTGATGGCATTAATCTACTTGCGAGGACAGATCTTTCGATAAGGCCCTCCCTCCCAATCCTATTGTTTTGGGGGATTGCTTAACACAATAAGTTTGTAGGGAGTGGGTACATGCAAACATAGCATCATAGCCACTGAGATCTGAGCTGTGTCATTGAAGAAAATGCAGTCGTGCGTATGTTATCTACACCGTGCCTTATACACTGACTATGTTTAGCTATATTAACTGATAAGCAAATCAGTTCATACTAGAACCTTGCCAAATGTATGCAAGGCCACAACAAATAATATGTGAACAATTCACTGAAATTAAATAAGGGTTAACTTTACAGCTTAGGGTGAGAGTTGCATTTCTCTTCCTTTTTATGAAACAAAAGGCTAAGGGGCAGCTGTCCTGGAACTCATTCTGTATCTCAGGCTGGCCTTGAACTCACAGAGATCCACCTGCCTCTGCCCCACAAGTTCTGGGATTAAAGGTGTGTGCCACCACCACCCACCTAAACCAGAGAACTTTCAAATAGAAGCCTTCACCCAAGTCAAACATCCCAGGAACACAGTTGTCCTGTGACTGAACGTGCTATCCAAGGTCAACTAGGGAGTCGAGACTCACCCCAGTCTGCACTGATAAAACACTCCTTTCTCCTACCTGAAGTGAGACCAGAGAAGCATAGGTATGGATCAGAATTTCCAACCCCAACAAACCCTAAGAAAACTGCAGCCACGTGTGAGGGGCAGGCGAGACCACGTGGAGCATTTGAAGCCAAAACTCATGCCCAGGAAAGCAATGCCCTCCTCCTCCTTCCTGGCAGAGAAATATCAAAGGGAGGCAGCTGGAGTCGCTTCCACCACTGCCCAGTGATCACAAGGTCACCTCCATGGAATCAATGGAAGCCACCCAAGAAACATGAATAAGGCCTTTCACTGCTCCTAGACAGTGTGGGAGACTTAGAGGGGAGCTGAGACCCTCCCACACCCGAACCAGACAGTAGCCCCTCCTACCTCAAGGGCATCAGTGACACAGGCTGGGGAAGTGGGAACTTTGCCTCCATAATGAGTGGTTTCCTCCCGTTTGCCCTGCAAGTGGGAAGAAAACAGAGCCATCCTTCCGAGAGAACCTATTCACTCTGGCACACAGATCCCATGCAACATTAAAGGGCCTAGCTTTCCCTGTAACCTGAGTTGGAACTAGCTCCTTTCAGCTCTTGTCAACTGCCCTTATTTCTCTCTGGAAGTCCGACCAAGCCCCTGGGAATAAAATGGCGATCAGAGAACACAGAGGTATCATTGCTGCTCAGATTCTAGGACCCCTGAATTGACCTGTTTCTCCACAATAGACTCGGCACAATTAGATGTAGAAGCTGCATCATAATACACTCCTGGCCCCTGTTTTATAGCATCCATCTGTTCCATGAGTTAGAGACACTGAGAGTTCTTCAAAGATTGCCCTATGTAAGATGGCTTCCTGGGGTTCTCTGCCTCCCCATATTTAGCTGTTGTTTTAGTTATGTTAGCCAGGATGCCTGATGTAGACTGTAAGTTTCTAAAGGGAGAGGACTCACAGATTTGGACTTCCCAAGCCTTTGCTGTCTAACTAATTTTTATAATATATATAAAATGACTTTGGTGATACAGTTCATACATGTGTTACTTTCCTGTGGTTGCTGTAACCAAATCCCACAGTCTTAGAAACTTCAAATAACAGAAAAATATTCTCCCACAGTTCTGGGGGCAGAATTCCATAGTCAGTGAAGGAGACTGAGTCTGAGGTGTCAACGGGACTGTCTTCCCCCCAGAACCCTGGGAGAATGTTTTCCTTTAGTCTTCCAGCAGCTGACTGCTGACTTCCCTCGCTCCAATCATTACGTGTATCTTGTCTACTCTATGATGTAATACAGCCCTCTGCACAGTCTTCTCAAGGCATTTGAGTGCCATTCAAGACATACCCAGAAAATCCAGAATGACCCCTTGTCTTAGGATCCTAAATTTAAGCACATGGAAAAAGTCATGTTTCCTTCTAAGGTAACATTGGAAGATTCCAAAGTTAGAATCTGATGTCTCATTTTGGTGTTGTGGTTTGAATCCAACGTCTATGCATGCTAGGCATATGCCCTATCACTGAGCCATACTCCAGCCCCTAAAAACTGATATTTTAGGACCTGATAATTGTGATAGATGTAATAGGATGCCATAGGATAGCCTTCTAGGTCAGTATATATGGAAAAGGTATTGTCAGGAGAATCTGGGCAGGGTACCAAGAGTGTTGTCCTCATCATGATGGTGTGGATAGTGTGGCCAACTGTTTGATTGACAGTACTTAAAGAAGCTGGCTATAGTTTTTAAGAAAATCTAAGTATATTCAAAATAGTGAAGGATTATAGAGCCAAAATCCAGGAAAAAGACAAAAGCCAGAAAGATTACCCAAGGGTTTTTGGACGTTTTCCCTTGGAAGCATTCACCAATTTCAAAAACAGGCAGTCAAAAGGCAGTGGAGCTGATGAAGATCTTTTCCTGATGTGGGATTCCCCTCTGCATGCTGTGAATGTCATTGGTTAATAAAGGAACTGCTTTGGGCCTATAGCAGAGCTTTAGGGGAACAGAGTGAGGCAGGGGAAACTAAACGGAATACTGGGAGAAAGGAGGCAGAGTCAGAGAGAAGCCATGGAGCTTCTGCCAGAGATAGACATATTGAAACCATGCTGGCAAGCTATGACCTCGTGGTGATGCACAGACTAATGGAGATGGGTTAAATTAAGATGTAAGAGTTAGCCAATAAGAAGCTAGAGCTAATGGGCCAAGCAGTGATTTAAAAAATACAGTTTCTGTGTGGTTATTTTGGTTCTGGGCGACTGGGACAAACAACCGAACTCCTCCTACATTTTCCCATTCTGTGGGCTGCTGCTTTGCCCTATTGATGGTGTCCTTTGCCTTACAGAAGCTTTCCAGTTTCATTTATTAATTATCAATCTTAATGTCTTGTGTTACTGGTATTTTATTCAGGAAGTTGTCTCCTATACCAATGTCTTCAAGGCTGTTCCCCACTTTCTCTTCTATCAGGTTCAGTGAAACTACATTTACGTTAGTATCTTTGATCCACTTGGACTTGAGTTTTGTGCAGGGTGTTAGATACGGATCTACTTGCATTTTTCGACATGCTGACATCCAATTTGCCAGCATCATTTGTTGATGACGCTTTCTTTATTCCATTGTATAATTTTGGCTTCTTTGTCGAAAACCCACTGTCTATAGGTGTATGGATTTATGTCAGGGTCTTCAATTCCATTGATCTACCTGTCTGTTTCCATGCCAATACCATGCTGTTTTAATTACTATAGCTTTGTAATAGAACTTGACATAGGGATGGTGACATCTCCAGCAGTCTTTAATTGTACAGGATTGTTTTAGCTATCCTGGGTTTTTTATTTTTCCAAATGAAGTTGAGTATTGTTCTCTCAAGGTCAGTAAAGAATTGTGTTAGGATTTTGACTGGGATTTCTTTGAATCTGTAGATTGCTTTTGGTAGGATGGCCATTTTAACTGTTAATCCTACTGATCTATAAGCATGGAAGATTTTTCCATCTTCTGATATCTTCACAAATTTCTTCCTTCAAAGACTTGAAGTTCTTGTCATACAGGTCTTTTACTTGCTTGGTTAAGAGTTACACCAAGATATTTTGTATTATTTGTGGCTATTGTGAAGGGTGTTGTTTCCCTGATTTTTTTTCTCAGTCCTTTTATTATTTATATATAAGGGGGCTACTGATTTTTGTATTAATCATGTATCCAGTCACTTCATCTCTGGGATTACAGTGGATGAGCTCCTACTGAAGAGAGGAAGGAAGGATTGTAGGAACCAGAGGGGTCAAGGACATCACACACACACACACACACACACACACACACACACACAACCCACAGAATCAACTCTCCTGGACCACAGGAACTCACAGAGTCTGAACCAATAACCAGAAAGCCCACAAGAAACTGTTCTAGGTCCTCTGCATATATGTACAGCTGTGTAGCTTTATCTACTTGCGTGGCATCAAGCAATGGAAGCAGGGGCTGCTCCTAACACATTGGATGGCTCTTTGGAACCTATTCCTCATACTGGATTACCTTGCTCACCCTTAATACAAGGGGAGATGCTTAGTCTTATCGAAATTTGATATCCCATGATTTGCTGATACCCATGGGAGGCCTGCCCCTTTCTGAACATAAACAGAGGAGGAGTGGATTGGGAAGGAGTGGAAGGAGAGGAGAGACAGGAAACTGCAGTCGGGATATAAAATAAATCAATTAATTAAATTTTAAAAAGGCAGCAGAGCTGGGCAGAGCTCCTGGTAAGTAGTTAGGTTAGAGGGAAAACAGGTCTCAGCAATGATGGGATCCCAGTAAATCCCACTGTCCTCAGGAACACTAAGGCAACATACCTTGGGTGGAATTGAATCCAAACAAGCCAGCTCAGTTCTGAGTTGGCTCAATATTCACCCAGGTTGATGGGTATCGTTACTGCTTGAGTTTCATCGTTGCCCGGCATCAAATATAAATCCTTTCTGAAGGAAGACAGTACACCCAGTGGAAACATTTCCAAAATGAAGAGGCAACGGCATCGTTAACAAGTGTGTGTGAAGGCTATTTGTCACCGTAGGATGCATTTTAAATGAAACTCCAAGGGGACTCAGCAAAGCTAAGTGACCTCAGCTAGCACAGGCGTGTTCTCAACAGATAAGAACCCAGCTCACCAGAAATAAATTAGAGCTCTAACTTTGCATGTGTGTGATAATACACAGAAGGTGATGTCCTGAAAAAAAAAACCACCCTAAGCGGAAAATATCGTAAGTCACAATTGCCTGTGTACCTAACCAGCTTTTAATAATGTTGGAAGAGATACACTGTAACACGGGTGGTTTCCCTTTGTGACTAGGGGCTGGCTTACAGCTCTGACTTATGATCACTGCTCACTACCCAGGTCTTATAAGAAAAGGCTTTACGGCCTATCATTAATCTCAGGAAAAAGATCAAAATTCAAAATACCACTTTATATCTATTTATGTATTTGTATGTGTGGGGGGTATGCTTGTGTGTGCCACCAGGTAAATGGGGAGACCAAAGGAAACTTGTGGGGTCTGTTCTCTTTTTCTACCATGTGAGTCCTGAGGATGGAACTCAGGTGATTACCAAGCTTGGTGACAAGGGCATTTTTCCCACTGAGCCATCTCACTGGTCCCCAAATTCAAATTTTGATGTACAGCTTCTACTGCGTGCACACTGTTTTCATGCCTGAAACAAAAACAAAAACAAAACAAAACAAACAAACAAAAAAACACAGTAAAGTTGAGCCATGGTCAGTTAGGAATTGTCTGTCCCCAAAATAAGTAAACAGAGGTAGAAATAAAACTGGCAGTCTTGAAAAAAAAAATTTTTAACTTAAACTTGTTAGCAGCTTGTGGGGCTTAAATCTGTTAATCGCTTGGTTGGATTTAGAAACACTTAGGGCTTTAGTGAGGCACTCACTTGGGTGTGACTGAACAAAGAGGGGAAAGAGAAAGGCAGTCACATGCCAGCTTTCTCCTTTACCTGCTTCCGGATCCGCCCAGAGAGAAGCAAGCAAACATCATGGCCACTGTGGACAGTGTCTATTGTCTGAGGTTTTCTATCCTTCCCGGTTCCCACAATCATTAAGTCCCAAAGAAATCACACAGAGGTCTACATTAGTTATAAACTGATTGGCCCATTAGCTCCAGCTTCTTATTAACTCTTACAACTTATATTAGCCCATTATTCTTGTCTATGTTAGCCACGTGGCTAGGTACCTTATTCAGCAAGGCAATCACATATTGCTTCTTCTGTGGCTGGGCCAGGACTGCCGAGGAATGGGCTTCCTTCTTCCCAGCCTTCTCCTGTTCTCATTAACCCGCCTCTACTTCCTGTCTGGTTGTCCTGCCTATACTTCCTGCCTGGCTACTGGCCAATCAGCATTTATTTAAAGTATAATTGAGAGACTATAGATGACTGTCCCACACCAAATGTTCTTTAACTTCCAGTCAACAACCCTTCCTTTTTGTCAAGTATTTGTTCATAATGGTGGGAAAAGTAACTAATACACAGTTTTTTAAACTTACATTCTAGGGGTCTAGAGGGATGGCACAGTGGTTAAGAGCACTTACTGCTCTTGCAGAGGATCCAGATTTGGTTCCCAGAACCCACATGGCAACTAACAACAGTCTGAGTCTGTAACTCCAGTTCCAAAGGACCCATTCTGTCACCCTCTTCTGACCTACTAAGGCACCAGGCATGCGTGCAGTGCAAATACATACACGAAGGCAAAGTTCATAGACATAAAATTTTAAAAAATGAATCTTATGCTGGGTGGAGAGGGAAAACACGGAGCTGTGTGTGCTTGGTAGAAAGCAAGCAGTTACCCATGCATGCCCACCTGCCGGCGACTCTAAACAGAATGCAATATTAAAGATGGATTTTCATATGCACATGGGTGCTTTGCCTGTGTGTATGTCCATGGACCATGTGCGTGCCTGGTTCCCACAGACAGATGTTGGATCCCCTGGAACTGGAGTTACAAGTGGCTGTTAGCTGCCATGCTGGTGTTTGGGCCTGAATGAGGGTCCTCTGGAGGAACAGCTGGTGCTCCTCACTGCTGAGCCATCTCCACAGTCCCCAGAGGGCAATATGAAATTGGTTGGTTTTTTAAATGCATTCCATATAGCTCTCCAAGGAGACGCTGATGGCTTTTTTCCCCCTCTACAATAAAAACGACGCTGTGGGCTGAAAGTCACTCTAGACAGAGATGGGGCCCCGAATTGTATGCCAAGATTGTACTTCAGAAGAAACAAATGCTGAATTTTTTTTTTTTTATCGTTTTGTAGTTTCCAGCTCTTCAATGAGGTACTTCTGATGGTTGCCATGGTGAGTCCTCTGGGCAGTAGTTTTAATTCTCCTCATTAGCAAGTAGCATATGGTGAGGTTATACGGTGCATTTTTTGTGCTAGAATAATAACTATGGAAAGTTGTCATGTGGGTGAGAGACAGGCGACTCCATTCCTGCTGCTTGGAGGCAGAGCCTTAAAAGAGGGGGGCACTTCTCCCATCACATGGCCTCAAGAATGACACATGTTTATTGAAAGAGTAAGGTCATACTAGTTGTTTAAGTATATTCCCCAATTTGGGGGCAAGGCCAATTTAATTGCTGAGGCCAATTAACAGTTCTAAATATTTCAGAAGACAGTACCTCAATTAGCACATAAATTAGAGAGCATCACGGCTTGGAATATTCTAGAGTAGGAGGACAGTTGTCCCGTCCACCATGATTAACATGATGCTATCCCTGAGGTCATCTACCACCACATAAAAACATTCTTGATGCAGCAGAGGTTGGAGAAGCCGCGTGTTTACAGGAGACAGTGACGGCAGAAGTCTACCTAGGTCACCTGCGACAATCACAAGCATGTGAAACCATTTAGAATAATTTCAAATCACCCATGGTGGCACAGTCTCGTCAGCCTAGCCTTCAGGAGACTGAGAGTGAAGAACTGACTTGGGCTAAAAAAAGTCATATATTGACCCTGTCTCAAAAAAAATCATATATTTTGAAGATATTGCAATATCATGAATAAGTAGTCTTACTGGGAATATTGAGAAACCCCGCTGATCATTTTTTTAAAGATTCATTTGTGTGTGTGTGTGTGTGTGTGTGTGTGTTAGCCTGTGTGTACTTACAGGTACACGTCTGGAGGGCCAGCATTGTTATGTAGGTGCTAGGCTCCAAGCTTCAGTCCTTATGATGTCACAGCCGGTTCTCTTAACTACTGACCCATCTCTCCAGCCCCCAACAGCTCTTTATAAAAGATGCCCATTGGAAGAATTGTAGCAATACAATTTTTCTGGGAAAAGGAAACAGAGATATATTACAGGTGTGTAGAATGTGTTCTCGGAAAGCTTATTCATGGATGTCATCGCAGCAAAGCATGTCAGGAACATTAAGTACTCTCCTTGCTGATCAGCCCTCTCCAGCAGATGATAAAAAGACAAGAATCCAAATGGCCCACAGAGGTGTTCTGTTACAGCACAGTTTTGCTAACCTTTTATATTCTATTAAATAGATTGGTTCATCCCTGAAAATATAAGATTAAAAGATGCTAACTATCACTTGGGAATCTAGATAATGAATTGTCTATTGTTGTACAGTAAACTGCCTCAAAGTTACTGGCATAAAACAACACAATTCATTTAACCTCCCAGTTCCTTTGTGTCTGTTTGGGCTCAGCTGGGTTTTCTGCTTTGAGTCTCACAAACCTATAACCCGGGTCCCAGGCAGGCTGTGCTTTCTTCTGGAAGTTCAAATGGGGAAGGATCCTCTTCGAAGTTTACCCAGATTACTGAGCCATAGGATTTCGAGTCCTGGCTTCCAGGTGGCTGAGAGCTGGCCTCGGGACCTAGTTCTAGCAGTAGGAGCCGCTTGGGCTTTGCCAACAGGGTTACCTATGTCACTGAGCCAACCAAGTGGTAGCAGTTGGCCAGCAGGACGGAGTCATAGATGATGTAACATCTTAGAAATTAGATAGAGTGGCCAGTTTAACTGACACTAATACTGCTCCCAAAGAGAAGGAAAAGTTTGGTCAACACAATCTCAACAATAGAGCTATCACCGTCTAGGCAACGACACACCAGCCCCATAAATAAGCCAGACTTACTAAGCTTGCTACCTGGTGGAGGAGATGGTCCCATTTCTTACCAAAAGATGTATCTCCACCGAGTCGCTTCACTGTTTAACCAGTGTGATTTAAGTACAGTATAAGCAAAGCTGAGTCACTGCAACCAGAGGTTCGCACCAGAGCCTGAAGGCAACCCCAGATGCTTCTTATGTGTATCTAGGGCCAGCCCTCAATTCTCCCAAACTGGAAGAATTGCTTACAAACTGTGGGGATAGTCATCATCTAGTTCCTGCTGACGAGGGAGCTGCGGCTGACCACCAAATTCCTTTTTGTTTGTTTGTTTGTTTGGTGTTAAACTGTCAATGACTGTACACCAGTTCCAGAGACAGTGGTTCCAATAAAGTAGAAAAAAATAGTCTAATTCACGTATCCAGTAAATATGAATTAGGCAAACACTCTGTCCAAACCCCGAGCATGGAGTGTTCCAGGATTCAGTAATGAACAAAATAGAATGCCCCCACCATGAGTGAGAGATGTTGGTGAGTAAATAGTTCAGCATGTATGCTATTGGGTAGAAAGATGGCAACCGAGTGTGTCTGTGAGATACATGAAGCTAGAACTTGACACAAGCGTCTGGAAATAGAAGGAGAGGTAAAGAAGCTTCCACAGTATGATACTAGGAGTTCTAACAGCCAACAGACCTTAGCAAAGCTGACTCCATGACTGATGTACCATTCAGGCCTTGGAACCCAGCATGTCAGCAGCCCCACCTGCCAAAAAAAAGAGGACAAAAAACCTAATCCATCAAAGTTCACAGTTCTGGGGAAGTCCCCAAATGTACTAACCTTGTTTTTTAACTGTTCTTATAAGTGAGGTGTGTCAAGCCAGGATGTGACTTTTGTGCTTAAAAGCCCACCTTGAGAAAGGCTTTGTGACAGGTGGCGGTGGTGGAGCACGGCTTTCATCCCAACACTCTTGCAAAGGCGAGCGGGTCTCTGAGTTCGAAGCCAGCCTGGACTCCAGGGGAATAAAAAGGAAAGGAAGAAAGACTCAGGACTGCACTAAAGTCCTGAACACTGTGTGGTTGCTGCCCTACTTTCTCTGGGCATGAACCCACGTCTGAGTGGTCTTCTCTGATGGATTCCTCACACCAGAAGAATGGCCTCCTGAAGATGTCTCAAGCATTGACAGACAAACAGCCTCAAATTAAGGACACCTTTCTCCTGCTTGTTTGTTGTGGCCCTGTAACAATGAGGGCTGGCTTGTTGGGGTTTCTGTCCCTCCCAGTACCCCACAGCTGGCAAACCCCAAGGAAAAATCACACACAAGATTCTAAACTGATTGGCCCATTAGGTCAGGCTTCTTGTTAACTCTTATAACTTATATTAACTCATTATTCTCATCTATGTTAGCCATAATGGCTCCGTACCTTTCTCAGCTGGGCAAGTTACATGCTGTCTCTTCAGTGGTCTGCGCAGGAGTGGCAGAGGAACCTCTCTGCTTCCCAGAATTCTCCTGTTCTCATTGCATCACCTCTACTTCCTGTCTGGCTTTCCCGCCTATACTGCCTGCCTGGCCAATCAGCATTTTATTAAAATATGATTGACAGAATACAGACAATTCTCCCGCATCATTTGGGGCAGAAACATCTCTCAAAGAAGGCAATGGCTACTAAGAGCAGTGAGTTCAACCTGGCTTCCAAACACAGATCTGTGGTTTTACCTCTTTTCCTTCCCACTCTCGCATTATTTTTCTTCCTCTCCCAATAGTTTCCCCCATAATGCCTGCAGCAGAGGGAACAGATATGTCGGAAAACAATAAGCTACAATTTCATCACCGTTGGTGTTCCCACAGCAAATGCCTGAATAGCTCCTGGTGGTTCTTACTGGGCCATACCCTCCCAGCAAATAGAGGGCTTTAGACTGTGAGAATGCTTTCCAAAAGAAGGTATTTCCAGCCATCATCCCATTCCCCCCCCCCCAACACCCTTCTCCTTGGACAGGGAATACTTCTGGGGAATACGCTAATTTGGGGAAGTTAGAAACCAAAGAGCACCAACTCAGCAGAAATGACCAATCGACACCCTAAATCGGCATCATTCCTAAAGCCACAATCACAGGCTCCTTCTCCTGAGAGTTTAATTGCTATCAATTTAAATACCATCCTGGTAACGGGATCTCTGCAAGAATGCCCACATCTTTTGCATTCTAAACTCAATAGTTAAATAGTGCCATCTTCCTGCCCAGCAATCCTTGCAGAATTTCCTTCTGGTGGATCTCACTTAGGTAAAACCAGCAAGCCAGTGCAAACTTTAAGTCTCATATGCCCAACATGGTTTCTAGAAGTTTCTTTTGCCTTTAAAAAATGTTGAATCTTTCTCACTTTTATTCGTGCAGAAACACTTAAAAAGCACCTATTTTTGGGCCAACACTGTATTCCAGTCGGAGCTGAATCTAGGATGTACTCTGTCTATAGTTAGTGTTGGGGACTGCACAGCCATGGCCTCAGCCATAAGGCGCCCTCTGTCTTCCACCATGGGAAACACAGCAAGAAGGTCCCTACCAGCTGCAGCCCTTCATTTCGAACTACAACTTCTAGAACCATGAGTCTAACAAACAACAGATATCTATCATTTATAAAATACCTAAGAATGATTTTCTATAATAGCAGCATAAGACAAAGACAGGAAGGAAAGGGAAAGCAGTATGTATTCCTACACTAAGGAATAACCTTCTCAAGCTTTTGTTCCTTTCTAACCAGTGAAACTGTGGTTGGCTGTGACTTCAACACTCTTCACCATCTTAAAATCAAAGCAAACCGCGGTGGCATCACCACAGTCTTTTCAGCACACAACCGGAAGTCACAGGTCCCTAGTAGTTGTGCAAATGGGCTTGACATTCAGACTGAGGAGAGGCTAAGTGTTGAAACCGGAAGGTCCGCCATCCAGATAACGCTAGTGATTTGTGCCTAAAAATATAGCCACCAAACACAGAAAGGAGAGCTCTCTCTTAGCGGGAGATGCTGCTCTGATGTATGATGCTAATTTTAAACCCTAGGCAGTCTGAAAGGGCAGAGTGTGAAATTCGAGCCTCACTGATTCACTGACTAAGGAACCAGGCATTCTGGGGAGGTCGGGAGTTTATCTTCCCCTCTGAAGAGTCGCTCAGTGTTCCAAAAATGCTTTTCTCTTCCAAGATCAAGACGCTGGTTTGTGTCACAACTCCCAAGACTTTCTATTTGTGGAGTAAATATCACTGAGGTACATCCTCCTCCAAGTTTCCGCCTACAGTGTATCGTGGCTTTTGTTCCATACTTGATTTAGATTTCCTTGGAACTGTGAAGATAGAGTTTTCTTCTAAGACAGACATGTTGGGGCTCAGTGGTTAAGAGACTGGCTCTTCCAGAGGAGGGATTTCCCAGCACTCACATGGTGACTCATAACTGTCTGTAACTCCATTTCTAGAGGATCCAACACCCTCTTCTGGACTCCATAGGCACCACGCATGGAGGTGATACACAGGCATACATGCAGGCAAAATGCCCATACATACATACATGCATGCATGCATGCACAAAAATATTAAAAAGACAGATATGTTGTCTCTTTTCTCTCTCGTCTATAACATGTTTAACTATGGACACCAGGGGGAAAAAAGACACAGATTGACCCTTTCTGCTAATTTATGACTTGATTTATGATATGATCAGCATGTTCCAGATTATGGATATCTTTACAGCAAATATAATCGTGTAAACAACAATCTTGGAAGAATTTTCATAACCACTATTAGTTCAAGGTGTTTTTATAACAACCCCTTCCCTGACAGATAGATAGAAGGAATATTAGACTTCTCAGTAGAAGTAACTGAGGCCCCAAAGCATTAAGCGCTTAAAAAGGCAAACATTAATTTAGAGGTATATTCCAATCTCTTCTAGCAATTTTATCTTAAAAATCCTTAATGAGGCTCTCCGACCTCACCACTCTGTGATGAATGGAGAGACGGAGCTTGAGCTTGAATAAAGGCTCTTTGCTTTTGCATATAAAAAAATATTCTTAATGAACAAAAATTATGTAGCTACTTTTTACTATTATTATTCAAATTCCAATTGTGTTTATAATAACTTACATCATAATTCTATGCGATATTGGTATTTAAAGATGACCACGGGAGAATATGAAGAATCCTGTGGGTTTTAGACTATATTTTACTTTTTCTACTTTGCTTGATGTCATTAAAACTGGGAAGAAATTCTGTCCAGGAACTGCAATCATAACGATTAGAATAATTTAGTTTTTACAATTAGTTAGGAGACATAAACAGGAGGGCAAGTGTAAGGGCATTTACAAGTTGTGTTTGTGGTGAGGCATGCCTTTAACAAGTAGATGCAGGGGACATTAGCCTTCTCAGTGGGAGCAGCTAAGACCCTAAAACATTAAGTCCTTAAAAAGGAAAACATTATTTTATAGGTATATTACAATCTATTCAAGCAATTTTATCTTTGAAATTCTTAATGAACAAAAATGATGTAGTTACTTTTCATTAACCTTTGTCAAATGCCAACTTAACTCGAGAAAGAGAAACAAAAGGATTTCTGTGAGTTCAAGGCCAATCTGATCTACATAGGGAATTTCAGGACAGCCATGGCTACCCAGTGAGACTATGTCTCTAATAATAATAATAATAATAGTAATAGTAATAATAATAATAATAAACAAAGAAATAAATAAAACCAGTTGTCTATAAGCTATAAATGGTGAATACAACACACAATATTAGTTAACAAACTGATAATGTAAAATTGTGGAAACACTAATGCTTTGATTGACACAAGCTAGAATAATATGAGAAAATGCCTCTATCAGAATCACCTGTATGCAAATCTGTGGGGCATTTTCTTGAATAATGGTTGATGTGGGAGGACCCATCCCACTGTGGGCAGTGTCATCCCTAAGCAGATGGTTCTGGATTAAACAAAAAAGCAAAATAAAAATCATTTTTAAAAACTGGAAATATAAATATCCATCTTTACTAAGGCATTGTTTTTAGGTCTCTGTCCAGAGTAGTATCAATGATCAATACTGTGATTGGTTGAGTCATTTCTTCTTTTACAATCCTCCTGCCTCAGTCTCCCAAGTGCTAAGGACACAGGCATCAGGTACCCTGCCCAGAATAAACAATGTCTAGATGTCCCTTAAAACAATTTTCCTATTCACTTTTATATTCACAGTTCTTGTGAATACCTAGCCTGTTTCTCCAGGAGTCAGGCAACCAGTGTGGGGTGGGAGTGTGGCACGATTATACCAGCTGTGGGAGGGAGCTGTGCACACCAGTGATGTGCACCTGCTAGCAGAGAAGAGAAGGAAGCAGAGAAGTGCTAATTTGGGACGCTAGAAGGCAGGGAGCAGACGAAAAATTATAGTAGGTAAGCAGAGGGCTGCAAGGGCGAAAAGCCAAGTCTAAACTGAAAATAAAGTAGGCACAGGCACAGGGTAGGGAAGACTCTATCGGCGCCCTCGTTTCCGTATCACAAGATAGATTTCCACTCCACACTCGTGTGCTCAATGGATACTTTCCTACAAAGAACTGACTGTGGACTGAGGCTACCCGGAAAAGTCACATCTGTCTGGAAGAGTCTGCATACTGATTGACTTTGTGATTGTGGAAAGATACAATGCTGCAGACTGGGAGCCAAGATGTCTTGGGTTCTGTTTAGTCACCTCAATAGCAATTCATTACCAACCCCAGAGTGGCGGCTTGAATGATAATGATCTACCTAGGCTCATATATGTGAATCCTTGGTGTCTTGTTGATGGAACTGTTTGGGAAGGAGTAGGCAGTGTGGCCTTGTGGGAGGAGGCGAGTCTCTGGAGGCAAGCATTGAGGTGTCAAAAGCCCACACCATTCCCAGTTCGCTCGCTCTTGAGTTAGGCATAAATGAGCAACCAACCAAGTCTGTGTGCTCTCATTTCTCACTGCTCCTGACTTCACGTGAATGGGATTTGTTTGAAGTTTGTGCCTTGACTTCCCCACAAGGAAGGACTGTAGCCTGGAATTTTCAGCTGAAACAGCCTGTTTCTCCCTCAGAGATTCCCTTGTCACCATGGCAGAAATGAAACTGAAACAGGCTGCGACTGGTCTAAGATCTTTATGACCGGTACACATTTGCTCGACAGGCGCAAACGCCATCTGACAGCCTCTGAAACAATAGCAGCATTTCTCCACTTTGCTGGAGGCTGCCGGCCTGATGGCCTCGGGATCACACTTAGTAAATGCACACTGATTGATGGTTTTCTTTTGCCCTAACTTTCGAAGCTCATGCAACCACTTTCAAGATGGAACAAGTCGTTGGAACAAGATGGAAGCCGTGTTCCAGGGCTGGGGCCACTCGTGTTTGAGGAAGAGTAGATGCTCTCTTATTCCCTTCGGAGCAAGAGTCAATAAACTTCAAGGTGAAGAGTAATTATTTTTTTTT